CGAGTTGTGGGCCCGTTTGGGGCTCTTATGTACGTCAGGAATCGGCCCGTGGCAATTCAGGGACCTTTCCCATCCAGGTGTACTACTACTATCCTACGGCCATTTTTGCATCCAGTCTTGGTTTTGTTTACTAAGAGAATCGGGATAGTCTCCTTCTTTCTTTCTATTCGATTCAATGATCACCTTTTCTATTGTTCATGATCGTATTTTCTGCGATACCGTGTTGCCCTTCCGATTACTCAACTCTCATTCAGATAAAAGTATTCTATAGCACAGTATTCAAGTGTTTTTAAACTGGACAAACGACCATTATGGCTAAAAGAGATGATAACTATGAAAATAACGGCATATAAGTGAAACGTCTGTCAACAGCTTCTCTAAAATCATGTAACCTAGACAGCTATATTCATACTGATCTGATTTAGATACTTAGTAGATTCTATCCAGGATTACTTCATTAATAAAGACGTAAGGGCTATATTAAATTTTGATTGTTTACTTTCTACCTTGTTCGTCGCGTTTAGCGGCCACCTAAACCTTTGGTTATTCACCTTCTGCTCCTCGTATTTCAGGGACAACCTAGGTTATATAAATACTTTCGCTTAGGCCATCATCGCCTCTACCATTCTAGGCTGGCATAACACTGATAGATACCAGGGCTGCATTTATTTCCAAGTGAAATAGTAAGGCCATGAGAGCAGCAAAGAGTGGACGTAGGAGCCCCAGACGAATCTCGAGTCAGTTGCCTGTTTCGTGCCCCTACGCCCTGCCTAGCTGACCCTTGAAATTCGGAGACAAAATTGAAGACGACATATTGGTGAAAGAATATTTCGAAAGCCTCTCTAAGCGACAGAAGAGAGTCCGAAGGTCTGTGAAGAAGCAACCAAGTCCATTGGTCGCTACGCGTGGCATTGGATATGGCAGGAGGAATGAATGGCATCGAACTGTCCCCTCAGGCCGCACAGCAAAGTTGGCGTGGGAACCTCCACGAGGTAGTTGGGAACACAAACCTTTCCATATCGACGGTTACAAGGGAGATAGCGCAGAAACCCTAATGATCTACATTACCTGGCTTGGAGGTCATAAGACCAGGCATAAAGTGGATATGCTCTGCAAAAAGTGCCCCCAGAAGGTAACAATATCTTGATTTCATTCATCACCTGCCTTACGTGATACTGACAATCTCCTTATCTTAGATACTCCGTTACTTAGATCAGTATGTGTCAATGTCATAATGACACCTTTCGAGCACCACAACGGGAGCGCGATTCGCTTCATGGCGGTGCGAAGAAGTGAAGGATATGCCAACGTATGCAGTTCAGAAACACCCATTTGTACCGGAAGCCTTGAGGGTATGGCTTTGTAATACCGACAGACCAAGAGGGTGACTGCGAATGTCCGCAGGGTTGAGGAACGATAAACAAATCAACTACATAGTAGTTATCTACTCTAATCTCGCCGCCAAGAGACATGCGGGTCTATCTTGTACTTCTGAAGTATCCCAGACCCCATTGGATAGATGGTTGGGTAGGGATGAGATTAATTGAATATACTGTTGAGTATAGTAGTGGCCGCCTGACACCTCTTATCTCGTACCTGTTTCCATCTAGAGAAGCCAGAAATGGAGCTCCTGAGAGCCGATGATATTGATCAGTCAAACACTAAGAGACTCAGCTCTGGTTATGGCTATAAATATGGCTGGTTCGCTTGGGAAGTTGACTGCATCGTCTCGCCCTTTCCATCGTGGAACAGCTAGTGATCAGAATGCTTCTGGAACCCCTTAACTTCGGAGGTCATAGCTCAAAGAGCGAGGAATCAAATTTTGATTATTGTCACAATCTGCCTAACTATTGCAGTCCATTGAGCCATAGGTAGCTTGGTACTCCCTGCCAAACAATTTATCTACTTTCGGAAGCCCAGGAGCCCGAATCCACTTCTAGCAAGTATGAGCTAGTATTGAACGACGCACCGATATGCGACTTATTTGGTCTAAATATTAGTATGCAGGAGAAAATAGAGGAAATAAGCAGGGAGCTAGACATTCTAAAGGCTACTGTTCTTTGGATGCAGGGCGTATAGGACACACAGAATAGGGTCATAAGCAGGCTATTGGTATCGCAAAGATGAAATACCAGGGTTGGTGGATCATATAAGGCCAGGAGTTGAGAACAAGCGACCAGGAGTCTGATTACAGATATAATGAATCGTGAACTTTCAAGCTTGTCGCCTGATCAGATCTAGCTGCGCTGCCGGTCGCGGCCAAAAAGTGGCCTCCAAATTTGACGGTCATGGTTCATTATTAGACTCTAAAGGACCTCATAGAATGTGTAGTATATTGTAATATAACAACGACCGCTATATTCGTACTTCGGTGTGTGGAATCCTACAATACAATTACACTCATCTCCCATGGCATCTTATGAATTAAATAAGAAGACGACTTATGCCACAGCCATTTTGCCGAATTATAAGACGCCATATAGAAGAAATCCATAGGCACGCCTTTGTGTATACGCAAATTGTGATCGGTCCACCAGTCTCAAGATGCAGCGACTCGATCCACATAAAGGAACCGTCGATATGAGTCAAGAAGCAAGCGAGGATGGGCTGCTCTTACGAAGATGTAGGGATAGGCTTGCAACACATATTGGTTAGTGCATAACCATCAAGAACATAACTTGCTTGCCTGACAATAGTAGAAAGCAGAACTGGTGTCAAGGTAGAACCTGCTGAGGTTCGTTTAACGATAAAGCAGAGTTATGCTTATACTTGGATATATACGACGGAAGTAGCCTATTTAATTTCCAAGGATCTCGAGAACCACGAAGCCGAAGTATACTAAAAGCTTTGTATAGAAGTGGGAAGAAGTTTCTATGCCGTGTTATTTACCAAGAGCAACTTGGCAGGCAGTCAACTGCGCTCAGGAAGCCTACCACTATTCTGCGTACTAATATTTAATGTAGATGGAATAGAGTCTGGCGAAGTAACTAAGCGCGTAGCTCTACTAAGCCACCAGCTCTCTATGATGGAGACGAGTGTAGCCTACGACGCGATCACCTGGGTGCAGTTATAAGAAAATATCGCCACCCTGGAATACGAAAACGAACATCTTGCGCAGGGGGGCAGACAGCAGCGGGAGGACGCCGTATATTACTGGGATTTCTTTTATAGGCTCTTAGAATCCACAGATCAGCTAAACTTGACAATCGGGGATATTCACCAGGATTACATTAGAATAGTTAATGTTAGTATATTTCCGAAAGATGATATTTCATCGCGCTAGTTAAGGAGATCTTTATCTTAGGTGTGCCACATATACTGTTTTACAATATAGTATAAAATAAGAGGGTATAAGGAGTTTCGCATTACCAGTCTAATAATTTAGGAGATTTTATTATAGATATGGTGATTATAGATAAATAAATAAATCCAGTTTTCTTGAATGCGGCTATGATTAAAGATGTCGATGTTAATATATTTAAACTATATTCAGAATCATAAGTTCATCGAATTCTAAGTCTAATAGAATTAAGATAGAGGGTAATATTTATAGTAAAGAATAAATTTCTTTGATGCTAGATATAAAAGTAAATTAATGCAGAGATACTAATAGTATGTTATCTAAGAATGCAGGGGCTTTTGGCGGATTATTAAAGCGAGGTGTAATGTCTCCTGTTGGATTTCAGAGCATACTTACTGTAGTATAAGTACTATAAGAAAGGAAAGAGAAAGAGAAGGAAATCAATATGCAGCATAAAAGTTTACATATATAAGGTCGCCAGCCATATAACCTCCGGTTTATATATATCATCTATATCTTACGCATTTATAATAATAGCATTCAAAAAACAAGCCTCATTCTGGGCTTTTGCAATAAGGACAGATCTATTCTATCAGATAACTGTTGGCCCGTAGGACCCACGAATACTAATCCCCTAAACCTAGGTCATAGGAACCTCTAATGTCCCTGGATGATACTAGACCGGCTAATATATTGCTTGACGAAGGTATATATGGAATGTATAGGTTAGTGCCGTTCTAATTATTGGCATTTTGGCAATATTGCACGTAGCCATATAATTTGTATGTGATCGTATTCATGGCTGGAAAAGCAAAGACACATGCATGCGTTTTATTGGAAGAGCCTTAAGTAAATTTATGCAGTCACAGGCGGCGGAGAGGTCTTATTATATATGCATGCTCAGCGACAACCAGGACCTTATCTGGCCGAATGCTAATACCCATAGCTTTCGTTGATTGAAGAGCGAGTTATCACTTCTAGACCTTTTATAAACAATATGGCATAGCACTGACTGTGGGACAGGTGTGCCAGACGATGGCGACGTCAAGATATGCCTTTTTTTATATGAACTATGCTTCCCGAGTATGCTTTATCTTTCATACCGCATATATGTTATAACCGCCATATAAGACCAATTTTATTCTACTTTTGGAGTGGATGAACCATTGACTTAATAATAGTCATTGAAACCTAGAACGGATAATAATGGACGAACTGTGGTAATTCTCGAGTACTTGCCATTTCAGTAGAGATAATAAATAATCTGGTAATATTCTTTTACCTTTAATATAATCGATCTCAATTCAACGTGGTGCTGTGAAATTCAAGTCGATTAAGTCATGCAGGATACAGTAGTGTATACACATATGCTGAGCTATCTTCTATATTCTTCATTAATCGCAATATATCCTACCTTCATTATCAAAATACATTAAAATACTCCAACATAAGTCCAACGAGAATATCCAGCTTTGTATCTTCGGAACCTAACAAGCCCCTCGATTTGATAATAACGAGAGAACTAGGCCCTTCATCAACACTTATGCTTGCAAGGTTATTGCATCATTTTAACTACATCTCGCTATTTACAGCCAACCTGGGCATAATATCGCTTATGTTTACGGCGCTTGCCGTGGCGGGAACTGATGGCCTGACCGAAGAATCTTCCGCCGTGGTGGCCATTCTGATAAGCGCCACAATGGCCGCCATTGTCGCCATACTACTTCGGTTCACGCTGAACCGATCGAGACCTTATTTTCAGAGGCTCGATCTCATCACAGCCTCGACACCTCTGTTCCTGGTCGATCTCGAGGACGACGAGATCTTGGTTGGCCTTCTCGTGTGGTACACCAGTAGCTTTACGGCAAGATTTGCTACGTACCTAGTCATAGAACTCTTGTTGGTCATGACTTTGGTGGTGCTAATAGCGATATGTTTCTGGAGGAAGATTAGGATCTTGATTCGTCTCGGTCATTATAAAAGTCTTGAGGCAGATAATGCCGTCGGCCAGCAAATTCAGAGATAGCACATAAAAAACACGGCAAAAGGCATGTGCATGACTGAATAACACTTAAGCGAAGAAACGGAGGGAGCGGTTTGATCAAGTTTAATTTCAACGTCGTCTCGTAGGAGTACAAACTATTATTGGGAGATGTCCGGGAACTGCAAGTCAAGGCCTATGCCCCTTGTCAAAGCAGGATACCGCTCATTCTAAACAGCCCCAAATTGGCTACAAGCGGACAAGAATAAAAGTAAGCCTCCGATAAATAACTACCCTATAGCTCACTACCTCTTGATTTCCACGACAGAGTGAAAGCCCACCAGGGGATCAAAGGCCATGTTATCAATCAAGTAAATATTATATGATCCTTTGTAGCCCTATTACTATGCTGTAGCGTGCGAACTGATACTGTGGAGTGGTTGCGTTGCAAACAGGGCTTCGCGACTGGCTTTCGCGTATAAAACCGGAAACGCGGAGTTCAGCAATGATTCTGATCTTTTTACTTAGACAACTCCTAACGCTAAGTTACGAAATGGGCCATAGTAGTCGCCTCGCCTCGAGTTGAAGTTCAAGTTGTAGATGATGACACTTGCCAAAGCTGTTTACAGCCTGCTCAGGCTGTATCAGGCATAACTTCGGCACATGAGACAGACACGGCTTTAGCATCCATGCTATTGGGCTTCAACACTATTGTATGAGATCGAGTAGCGAAAGGGAATACGTGAATGACGGCAGACCGGCTCAGGATATAGGGTGAGCTAAGGTTGGTAGTGACGAAGCATAACGATGCATATACTTAACGGCTGGGCTGAATATGGGCCAAGCCCGTACCCTGTCCCGGCTACATTGCGTTCCTTTCCCCATCATGTTTGGCTCTTAATACAGTCGCTGTAGATGACTGAGAGCCCTTAAGAATAACTGTGCAGCCATGCAGCTCATAGAGCCTCTCAGTCATCTGTGTTTTGTGGAAACCTTCTTTTGCTATCTTCATACTATACTCGACATACAATTATACTTCTAGGCCATAATAGCCAACTACCTATCCAACACAAAGGCGCTGGCGAACATACAGCTCGTGACAAGATACTGCCAGACGAAATCAGAGCAACCATTATTTGATATGTGATAAGCTGGCCACCGGGGATCGGTTTTACGACAACATACACAGAATCTGTCCTTCAACCAAAGCAACTTGCATCCACGCAGAATTCAGCGCCCTCCGATATTGGCCTGGCCCGTGAATGCAAACATCTAATACTTGAATAAGTATAGACAAAACCATTTAGGGTTTGATTCAGAGTCCGAAGGTAGTAAGACTTTAAATGAGCAGTAAGTCTTGAAGCCAAACAGAAGCATCTCCCTTTTCCTAGCAGGCTTGGTGATACATCAGTGCGACTTACTAGAACCAATCGACGAGATTTTAAATTTGCATATTAAAGGACGCATAACTCTGACCCAAAGAAAGATCTGAAGTCCGATATATTGCCAACATATCTTATTTTCCAAACTGAATAACTAAGAAGGGCGGGGGCCAATAAGTTTATGCTCTCAGTGGCCGCTTCGGAAGGAGTAAACAATCATGTTTCATACATTCTAAGTGATTATGATATTGCCGCATCACAAAATTTGTTTTAGTCTTGGCTGTATATGCAAGTTCTTCCTCGGTTTGTTCGTAATCTGCCGATTCCAGGTCAACTATCATGATTTTATCCTTTCCGTCATCTGTGACAAGATGAAAGTTATCCAGTTTGGCATCCCCATGAGAGACACCTAAGTCATGTAAGGACTTGAAGGCGTGATATGTTAGGGGCCTCATATCTTGCTCATCCAGTACGGCGCCTTCAGGAGTTGCGACACAATAACCTCCAATGTCTGAGTATCAGAGCGCGAGTGTTGTTATACTGGGTAATGCCGAAGAGTTTGGGAATGGTGAGACCTTGAATGGGTTGCAGTTTATGGTACGCAATAAGTTCGTTGTCAAATTCTTCTTCCCAATTCAGTTTCTGGAATTTCAGGACAATTCTTTCTGGTAGAAACTACTCTGGGAATTTGCTTTCAATCCATGATCCAGTTACTGTAGATAGAACTTGAAACAAGAACTGGATAGCATATTGAACAAATATCTGCTCTATCCGCAGGAGGAGAACATTGGGGTGACAACGGTCTGCTGCTGAGCCAGTAGCTTGGATTGTTCGAGTGCCAAACCGAAATTGCTGGAGCCCAAATTTTATCAGCAGGTAGACAAAGGAGAAAGCGGGTAATATATCTTACGACGTTCGTTGCAAGAGGGGCTTTTCCGGTGACGATGTCAATCCGTGGAGTGCCTGATGCCTCATTCGTGTCTGAGTTTTCCATTGTGCAGTTAAGATTCAGCTTTGAAAGGTAATTTGCTTAGCGACGAAACTTTAGGGGATGATTAAAGAACTGGCGAAGCGCGACGCGGCGAACAGCGGCGGGAAAAAATTGGATAAGCCAAGCTTAGTCATCGGCTCTTCCAATCCCGCTTACAAAGCAGACAACAACGAGCTAAAACAACATTGTCCCAATACTTCATACATTTGAAGAACAATGTAACTAAAACGAGAAAGTTTTATTCCATTCAACCTATTTTTCTTTCTAATTTTAGTCTCTTTGATGCCAATACCTCACGAGAGGTACGTAAGCCAAAGAGTCGTAAATCAAAACATACAAGGGTCTTACTAGTCACATGCGCACTCCAATTGGCTGAGGTCAGCCTTCTCAATGTCTGTTGGTTGGCCATCTGTTTCATAGAGTACCAACATCGTGGGGCTGGACTACTGAGGCGCTTAGCAATGCGTGCCTATTGGTCCTCGTACTAAATCTCAGCTTGAAGCATATGATTTTAACCGCTGGAGGCTACAAGGCTGTTGGCTGAACCATCATCAACGGCGCCTGCCTTCAAGGATTCTTATGATTTATCGTCTCATGAATTCAACCATATTAGATATATCAACCACCAACTCAGACTTATTTTCTCAAACATTGGACTTATCCTGCTTAGTAAATCTAGCCTATCACTTTACCTATTATGTCTACCAGCGAAGACCTTATCTTGAAGCACCCGAACAATGTCATCAGCAATCCTGGATACAAGACCGGCTCTGATAAGCCCTGGGCTCGTACATTCAAGCCTATAAAGAAAGTCACCTCGCACACTATTGTTGGCAGAGATGACCAGTATCACTCAAACTTTGAAACTGGCTTCATGGAACTGCAGAATGATGACAGATTGCGGTTTAACCAACAAGCCGCCACCAAATAATCGCCATTGGAGACTCGAAACCGAGGCAGATTGCGAAAACTGGTTTAATACCGAGGTGGTAAATGTAGTCCTGTCTGCATGGCACTCCTATCCGTCCCTCACACAGTCGTCTCACATCAAACCCATTTCAGAAAACAGTATAGGGGAGAATATCGACTCTGTATTTTCTATCAAAGTGGGCCAACAAAGAAAGACCGTGGCGATTGGTGAGATTAAACGTAATCTCCTTATCCAAGATGAATGGCAAAATGGAACCATCGCATCACCAGATCAAAGGAAGCTCTCACAAGAGCTAAGAGGGTGAGTATTAGATTCTTGAAGGTTGTGGATCCTGTCTTTGACATGGATTTTTCCGTCTTGACCCCGAAGAGGATAGATGATATCAAGCTGACCAAACATGTTAGATATGCGGCGAAATACGTGTGCCCTCAAGTCTTTTGCTTCGACGGTGCCGTTCTGGTTCTGCTGCAATTCAGGGCCTTCAGAGCCGAAGATATTAATGATGAGAAATGTCCGATAGACTGTTGGACTCTCCCAATTGATGGAAGCTCCTGCAGCCTCCGGTATGGACTTTACCGGCTCTTGGCTCAAGGTTGGAGACGATGCCAAGCAGAGCTAGCAGCTCCTTTCAGTATAGGAGGCCTGCAACCTTATTGCAGAGAATATTTTAACGGTCAGCCTATTTGGAAAGTCAATGGTCAGAAGCAGAGGTCTCATCCAAACGGCTATCAAAGGGGTGTTGACCAGCAAACTGGAGCTTTGATATGGTCTCACCAAGTTTATCCAGTGGAGTGGGAAACAGGGCCATTTTGGGAGTAAGAGGTGGGAGCGTAAACCGTATAACATAACAAAGAGCTAAGTTGGTGATTGGTGATGGGGGCATATTGCATCTGTCGCCAAGTAGGACGCTTACTTGGTCTGTCCAAGATTAAATCAATATAGTGTGAGGGGAAGGCGTCTCTTATGGTCAAGGTAGCTAAATTGAGCCTATCATAAGATCATAAGATGGATCATAACCAATGCCATTGTGTTGAATCTCACAACAACTCGTTTTAGCTCAAGTCAGTTAGGAGCCCCACATTGTTACTATGCTCCTACCTCGAAGTATTCATTGAAGTCCATATTGCATCTTTGTATCGAAGATGTTGCCTACCGTATTGCCCAACACGACACTCAGACATTTTAGCCAACACAACTCTCTCCTGTAAGAATCTTTTCTTGGCACCCGCTGTTAGCGCGCTGCTACGGTCTGCTCTGTCTGGGAACGGAGCCCCTTTTCGCGTCGCCTTAAATCGTGTCACCCTTGTCAAGTCCATTGGAAACCACTTTCCCTGCTATGTGACGAATCACAAGAAATCTGGCATATGCACGCGTCTTGGTCGAATACCTTGTTACAACGTCGCAGAGTAAAGCGATCAACCTCAAACACAGTTACGGCACGTTGGATACTTATTTCTGGGTTATTCTGCGTTGTTTCGAATGTAAGAAGGACTCTAGCTTAAGTTGAAGGCTGTGACATACTGGATGGTTGAGAAGTATCTGATTAGATCGTAATGATGTAAGATGAGGATTTTGGGAGTACTCGCTCATAAAACCAGGCCAGTATATCAGTAGCCACTATCAGGATAAGGTTTTGCTCGTCTCGTGCCGTTTTAGTATTTATGTTGCTAAAAGAAACATAATGAAAGTAGCTAGGTATGATTGTTAAAATAGTACCCGCTAACTCACTCATTCCTCATTCCATGTCTCGAGGCTTAACCCCCGCCTTTTTCAACATTGACACCATCTCATCGACTATGTCAAACTCGTCAATCACGTCATCGGATTCGTCGTTATTCACCACAGTATAGGCTTCCCATTCTGTTGCCATCGCTACTTGGCAGATGTATACCTCAAACCCCAGGTGTTGGAGATCAAAATCTTTTAAGGTCAGCTTACGCTCCGGTGAGGGGCCCGCCATTTTATCCCACCCTTCAGACCCTGACTCCAAGCTTCGCCTGATCCAAGCAGTAAAATATTTGCGAATAAACTTCCTAGGCTTGTATAGCGTACCATCAAGACCATTCCAAACAACTGCATGAAGCTTGGGGTTCCTCAGCAGCTTTTCGATAAAGGTCGAGGTTGTCGAGTCTTTCTTGACCAAAAAGCTAAGGCATAGTATTCCGCGACCCTGGTACTCGTGATAGTCGTCTTCGCACTCGTATATGGAATTTTTGCAAATTCTTTGTATCGATGTTGCCAAGCCACGCCAACTACCGTCAGGCTCGTATGTGAGCAGCTCATAGCGCAGTAGTTGGAAAAAACGCTTCTTTGCCCTTTTCGTGTTGACAGTCCTGCCTCAGGCCTTCCGATCCAAATGGTGAGTCGCACGGTTTTTTCGCCAAACTGTACTCAATGTACCTCTTGCTCTTAACCAGGAGATATCTCTAGGCACCCGATTTGTATATGTCTATGCAGTTATTTGTTGTCGTGGCAAGAGATATGGTATAATCATAGGTTGGGCTGCAAGACAAATGACTACACATATATGTCTCTTTGGCCTCAGGAGTAAACACAAAGGCTCGGGGGAAAGTCAAGAAAGGCCTAGGATAGAATTTACTCCTGTTTTAGCAGCAGTGAGGGATTGGCCCCAATGGCTTGTTTTAGATTAGTATGTAATGACCCAACATAGGCAAAGCTTACCGATATTTCTTATCTTTGCCCCAGTGCATAATCGTAGCCAAGATAAATCCTCAGAAGACCGAGCGCCGTGCTAGGCATAGGGCTAAGGAGACTTCCGGACTAAACGATGGAGTCTATCTTACTCCAGGTTGATTTACTAAGAGCTTAAAATACTGGAAACCCCTTAAGCCAATCCTCACCCATTAATGCACCACCCAAGGAAGAATGTCCGATAATGGCGTTTCAGAGATTGGCTAAGATAATGAGTATCGCGAATTCATCCAACCTATCCTATGTTCCCATATCTGACAGCTGATGCGCCGCCTATATCGACCGACGTCTGTTTTCGAATGTTTATTTAGCGCCAGTTTTGAGCGCTGGACAAGTGTAATAGTAATACCTAGAATGTGCGAAATATTGCCGAAACCTGTACTTACTAAAAGCCGGTGGAGGCTGACCTCGTAAGATTCATTATTAACCCACGAACCCATACCTGCGAAGAACCCATTCATGTAGACCAAGAGTCTGCCATCGTTCTAAAAGCATCGAGTTGTTAATATAATTTTTACTGAGAGAAATATTCTACTCTAAGATAATCCTCGACTAAGAGATTTGGCAACGCGACTACGATGTTATTCCCCCTGCATGGCCAGTGGACGTGGCATTGCACTATAAGAGGGCCAAATTGATATATCGATATAGCGGTGCATACAACTATCTTTCTCGGCGAACTAGGCTAAGATCATCGCATAGTAGATCTGATATTGCATAATATCGAGAAGTTAACCAAGAGGTTTTGGGATTTTTATTTCGATAATAAGCCTTAATAGACGATGGTTTCGCATAGTGTTATTGTCTAATAAGTCTATGAAGTGATTGCTGCTTGCAATATGACGGCTTTTATTATCGCAGTAATTCATATAAACCTCTGCATAGGAACGCTCAGCTATTTTGCCAAGGAGCGTCTAGACCTATAAGACTTACTCATAAAGTTACTAAATTTTAAAATCTGCGGGGAGTTCATGCTAACGGAGATTAGTCACGGCTTAGATGCTCGCAACCTGGAAACCACGGCAATGCTGCAGGTTAATGGCTCTTTCGAGTTACATACTCCTACCACAGCAGCATCAAAAGTAATGCCTCCTATAACACCATACTATGGAATACCACGGGTCGCGATTATTTTCGCCCGTCTGATGGTCCGAGGGAAGAGCCAAGGCGTGAAGCCTTTCATTGTGTTTCTCAGCGACGCAGATGCAATACGACCTGGAGTCTCGTCGCGAATATTACCAACGAGACCTGGTACCAAACCACTGGATCATGCAATTACGACATTTAATCGTGTTTAGTTGCCCTATAATGCCATGCTTGGTTCGCCCGCTAAGCCGGAGAGTGAGCGTGCTGAGTTTCTGTGCCATATTCGGCGTGTTGCTGTTAGAACGTTGTCGCTTTCCATCATGGGTATATCTGCTATCAGAGTCGGAACACATATAGCTGCTCTCTACAGCGAGCGAAGGACTATCACGGCGCCCGATGGGCATTCGGCTATGCCAATCATCGGCTTTAGCACTCAGCAGCGCCCTATCATCGAAGGATGGGTCCAGGGCAAGGTTTTAACCGCATTCGCCTATTAGGCTGTAAGCATGTGCCCGGACCCTGCCAATCCGATGCAACACGCGCTTAACACCATCTTTAAAGCCACAGTGATCAAAGCATCACGTGTCTTAGGGGAACTCGCGGAGAGGTGCGGATGGCGAGGGCTTTTCGCATTTAATTAGATCAGTGAACTAGACTTGACTTTTCAGGGGAACTCTATAGCCAAAGGCGATACGCTGGTACTATGTATTTATGCATACCTGAATTTTCTTGAAAATTGCCGTATTGGCCTAACAATGAATGAATGACTGACAAATTCTCTTCTCAGGTTTAGTCTCCGAGCTCCTTGGCGGCAAACTATAACTTCTAACCTGTCAGAACGCGTTAACGCCCTTAGCGCAGCAAGAGCACCGGTTGATGACCGAAATTCAATCAAGACTTACGGAGATTGGAGGATATGGAAAGCATCGGACCGAGGCTTTTAATCAGCACATTCTTCCATTTTGCCGACCGTTGGTTAAAACGATCGGTCACCGTATGGCTTACGAGGCCGCTCAATGTTCAGGGATCTCACCGGACGTCCTGGAACTGTACGAACGCCTATCTACCGGCAAGGCCTTGATCCATTTACCAGCCCAAGGCGTATCCAGAGTGAGATGCGAAGATCCCCTGGTAGACGAGCAGTACGAAACAATCATAGCTGTAGGAATACTCTGTAGTCTTGCTTCTTTAATTTAAACATTCGTGACCATAATAAGGGCATAAGTTCCTTGCCTCGAGGTATCATAAGGCGTTATTAGGTATCGGAATGGTCTAGACCGCCAAGACTTGGTCTGGTCTGAGGATTTCTCAAGACCATGGTCGGACCGGTCTTAATGGTCTGGACCGGTCTGGCTATAAATAGATCGGGGTGGCTGAATCTTAGATTAATGCCCCTCTTCGATATCACGAACCTCCGGATGAGTTTGTACAGGACCGTATCACCTACGTAAAACGCGCGACAATTACAAAGAAGGGATTTCGTCTAGGTTTATCACACATCTGGAAGTATGGCCTCTAATACATTCGAGGTAGCGATAAGAAAGAGGTATATTGCTATTATAAGTGCACAGCTAGAAAGAATAAGCAAGAATTGTTTATTACCAATGGCACTTCTAAGGTCAGAAATCACCTAGAACAGAAGCACCAGATTAATCCCCAGAGTAATATCAAGAAATATAGTTTAACACGGAAATCTATACTAGATTAGCAGAAGAGCATAGCTACTACTAATACCTTCTTCTAGAGAGACTTAATAGAGAAGTTCAAAGACCTTCTAATTCGTTAAATTATATACTATTATATTGCTTTCTTTTAAACTAGAAAATCAGTATTTCTAAGAACTACTCTTCTTTTTAAATCCGGCACTTCTCAACCACCTTCCAAAAGCAGCAAAAACTATCCGGAGTTAGATTATAGATACCTTTTAGTCGAAAAAGCAACAGCTCAGGGAGGACCTTAGGCAGACGAGGAGCAGAATCTCCATTTCCTTTAATCTCTAGACTTTGCTAAACCCTTATGCTATTATTAGGGTTATCGCCATATAGATCAACACTGCCGATAAGCGACCAACTACTATTTTAGGTATTTAATATATATACAGCGAATACACTAGCAAGAATATTAGGTTAGTGATTCTTAAATTATTAAGAGAATATAATATTGGCAAAGATCAGATCAGATACTTTATTCTGGATAAAGCCTTATTAAATAATGCCGCTATTAAGTTTATACTTAAGGAGCTCTGCCTATAGATGGACTTGAAATAACATTGCCATCGCCGACTTCGCTGCTTAGGCCACATTATCAACCTCTGCTGCCAGGCGTTTCTCATGGGTTAGAACTATAAGAAGTATCTAGCAAAGCTTGAAAAGCACTACCAACGCGGAGACTATAGAAAGGTGGAAGAGCTCTAGAGAAGATTTAGATATTTAGGTCGGCTTCACAACCTCATATAATACATTAGGCTTACTCTACAACGCCGTAAGGAGTTTGCTGCAATCATTATCAGCAGAGATCTCTCTAAATTCGATGGGCTCGAGCTTATCTAGAATAACTTAACACGCTGGAATTCATGGTTTCATTCAATTACACAGGCATTGAATATTCAGGAACGTTTAGAGATCTTCTTAGCTCGCCATGTACCTAGGAAAGGCTCTCAAGGGATTACAAACTTTAAACTTAATAGACAGCACTGGTTCAAGCTTGAAATAATTGAACTCGCTCTAAAAGACTTCTATGCTGCAACTTTGCTTTCTAAAGGTAAGAAGACATCACTTGCTAACTGGTTTTTAACTTTAGACTGCCTTCTTCGAGAGATAAGTAAGACAAAGGATTACTACCACGATATCCATTCTAGGGATAATAATAACTTTACATAGAAGTACCTTCAAAGCTGCGCAGATGCCGCGTGGTCAAAATGTGCCAAGTACTACAACAACCAGCAGCTAAATTAGCAGAATCGATTCCCTGAAGATACTGACCTTCCACCGGCATACTATGCGGCTCAAATCCTCGATCCATATCGCAAGTAGGCGTGGTTTAGGCAAGAGTGGGTTCTTCACGGCGACGAAGAGAAGAGGGGGTGGTTTGATAACGCATAATCAGCGGTGAAGCATCTCTGGGAGACAGAGTATAAGAGAAGACACTCTGTTAAGATGCTGCCACCACCGGCCAGGAAGGAGAGAGCTCCTGACCCAGCATTTAATCACCAGCGGGAACATAAGCGTATTCAAACAGACGCTCCGGTCTCCACAACAGATTTATATAAACAATATATTTCTACCGACAGGCTCCATAACGACGAGGCAAGTTACAATAACGCCATTACGTACTGGCTATCTCGTTATAACTCCCAGAGAGATCTCGCTCACTTCGCTCTGGATCTATTTGCGATCTCACCCATGTCAGATGAGTGCGAACGCCTTTTTAGTAGCGCAAAGCTTACTATAGTTGATCGCCGTGGTAGGCTGAAATCGGATATCATAGAAGCTTGTGAGTGTCTCCGGGCTTGGTATGGAAAGCCCCAGGTTGAGGATGACAGTGATAGCGAGGATAGTGAGAATGACAATGAATGGATTGATAGCTACTCGTAAAATACATTTCCTTTCTTCCTTCCACTACTTCAGCTGTCACGGGGCCAGAGGCTTTGCAGAAAGCATAGCGTGCATTGACGAAGAGGTCGTTCAGGGAGCAGAAAACGTTCTGCCCTTGAGCGACAATACCGTATTTATCTGAGTGTACACGTGACCTGTCACGTGGAGCCCTGACAGCCTCATTCTTGGCGGTCTTGTTGGTCTAACCGGTCTACCAGACCAGACCATTCCGATAACTGCTTGTTCCTATACCTATGCGTGTCTGCAGCTGTCTTGACGTCGGTAAACGAAGGTGTGTATCCACTAAATAAAATCACACGCCCCGCTACTAGAGAAGCACGTTTTTACCTTCGGGCCCTGCGGAGCCGGCGTGCGTGGAGTAAAAGCAACACTATGTATGATGAGGAGTCGTGCTTATCTAGGCGCTCGGAGATATCGCACGCTAAGCTACGCGGTTGTTTGTTGACCAAGGCAATTTCCTCACATTCATGAACTGTTCCCATCCATGCCGGTACTGAAAACGAGGGGAACTGTAATAAGTTCAAACTATCTCGGGATCCGCGGGCGCGCAACAAAGCGCCAAGACCTTTTATCCGGCTGGCACAGCATCCTGAACTGATCTAAGCAATTCCGACACCCGCCCCCAGCTTAATGTCAAGATGGCATTAAATACACTCATAGATACTGTAGCAATTTTTTTTTGAGTTTGCAGCATCCCCAATACTTCAGGTTCGACAATTAAGCTACAATACACAACATTACCGCCCAGCTCCAACGTTTACCTGCCAACATAATCACCCCGGCTCAATGTCCGACGCCCATAGCACAGATCTCCGACGGAGGGCTGAGCCGTCTCCAGCTCATTTTGAGGAAACGGTACGAGTCTTCAGATACATGCTGCTACTTGTGACTAACGGTAAATTCCAGGTCAAGCTTTTGCACGCCACTATACCAGAGCGTGTATGTATCCGCGACACTCCTGAGTACGAAGATGCTCGAAAGGGCTTCTGGGCCCTTGAACAGGCCCAGTGCAAGCCACACTGCATCATTCAGCCATGCAACAGTCAGGAGGTGTCAGACGTTATGCGAATCTTGAGAAACACTGGATGCCCGTTTGGAGTCAAAAGCGGCGGGCATGGCAGATTGGCAGGGGAGTCATCGGTGTCAAGTGGTGTACTCATCGACTTGAAACGACTTGACAAGGTTGAGCTATCCGCAGACAAGACTTCTTGCAAGGTTGGGCCAGGAAACAACTGGAAGAATGTTTACGGCCACTTGAACCCCAAGGGGCTGATAGTCGTGGGTGGAAGAGCTTCGACGGTCGGAGTTGGGGGGTTCTGCGTCTCAGGTAAGCCGCATTTTACCTACTTATCTATTCTTTTCTCGCCAACTTACATCTACCAGGAGGAATATCTTTCTTCTCTAATCGTCACGGGTGGGCATTGGACAATGTCCTCTCTTTCGAGGTCGTCCTTGCTGACGGAAGTATCGTGCAAGCCAGCCCAGAGAGCAACGCCGACCTGTATAAAGCACTTCGCGGTGGTGGCGCCAACTTTGGTATTGTCACAGAGTTCACATTAAGCGTGTATCCTTACCAGGACCTCTGGGGAGGCGGTATCGCCTACGAATGGCAACAAGCGGACGACGTCATTGACGCTTTCATTGCGTACGGCAATGACAATGTCGGCAACAGAGATTCCTCTGTTATCCTTGCCGCCCTCAACTACGAAGGCCAGTGGCTCTATCATACTGACATCGAGCACCTGAAGCCGACTGAGCCAGATAGAGATTCCGTCCTGGGCAAGTTCCTCCAGATCCCTTCACTTGGCATCACGGCGGGGCATGCAAGCCTATCGGAGCGCACCGATAGCATAGCCAGCCACACCCCTAAAGGACTCTGCAACGGCTATTATACATTCTGCACAAAAGTCGACAAACGTATCATAAAGTTCTTCTTTGAAACCTGGCGTGCAGAGACTGATCGCATCATTGGCGAGCACGGGATCGACGGAGCTCCTCTTGCGGATATAAATTTCGTTCCTCAAAACATCATCGACGCCATGAGCAGGAACGGCGGAAACGCTCTTGGCAGAGCAGGCAAAGAGCCTTTCCTGGTATACCTCTTGGAACGAAATTGGTCAAACCCAAACAACAGCCAGCACGTATGGAAGGCCATGCGAGCCACGGTAGTAAAGACACTGAGCAAGGCGAAAGAGCTGGGAAAAGAAGACGATTATGTCTATCTCAACTACGCAAACCCATTCCAAGATGTATTCGATGGGTACGGGAAAGAGTCGACAGCTTTTCTCACTGGCGTCAGTAGAAAATACGATCCTGATGGCCTCTTCCAATTTCAGAGAAAGGCAGGTTGGCACCTCAACGGACCGCTGAGGCCGATAGATAAAGAAGCACCGTGGCACGCAGCAGACAGTGTTATGTTGTGAGCGCAAGAGAGACTTTGCAACTTGTAGACGTTGTTGGCTGAAACTATATGTAACATAAGAGATATGGTATTTACTGTCGTTGTTTTATATGTGCGAGTGTGAAACCCCGACATACATAACTTGTATGAATGGCTCCAATAACCAAGTCATCCGGGCGTATTCTCGGCGCTCTGTTTCCTTTGGCACACAACAGACGTTTTGAGCGCTTCGGCTTGCATTGAAACCTTCTGATTAGGTCCTATCTCAGCTCTGAAGTTCGAAATGGCAAGATCATTTAACAAATGCATAGCGATCAGCCCCTGACGCCTACTCAGTAAGTTATTGGGGGCCAATGGCCGATGTACCGAAGACTCGAAAGGTTTTACTCATGGTGGGAGTCAAGATGTCGGGGTTGAGAGTTACATTCTGTTCTAAAATCAAATAGTTGCCACAATAGACAAGACTACCAGCCAACCAGCCAACAACCCGAACTTCGACGCCCTCCAAATCATCAGCGGCCGACCATCTCTCCAAGTACTGAACATAATCGTTTATTCCAGCAGCCCAAACTCCACCTTTTGCAAGCTTGATCTGATCCTCTGGGCTCTTCACATTCGTAAGCTCGCCCTCTCTTGTCATGTAGCTGGGGGTACAAATAGTTAAACCTCCAAGTGCGTACGCGCCATGGACAATCTTGAGAACCCAGTCTGCCTCGCCCTCCTCAGTAGGCTCCACAAGTACCTTCTTCTTCTCACCGGACGCATATCTCTTGGATGCTTCTGCAAGGATATACGCTACATGCTGCGCCGCAACATCCATGGTGTGGACAACATTGACCGTGCCGGCAGCTTGAGAAGTGCCAGGGAGAATGAGATTGGGAAAGTTTCTGGTGAAAACCCCGTGTAGAGTGCCAATACCTTGGTTCCACTTCTCGTCAAGGTCGAGCCCATCACGACCCTTGATTGTCACATTGGCACGATAAGCCGGGCTACCTGCTGTCCACGGCTCAAATCCAGTGCCGAGGATGAGTACGTTAACGTCAAATTCCTTGCCGCCTGCGACCAAGCCTGCGCTTGTGCATCGCTCAACTCCCTTACCGTTGGTGTCGATGAGCTCAATGTTCGAGTTGTTGAAGGCTTGCAAGTACTCGTCGTGAAAGCAGGGGCGCTTGCACCACCCAGGGTACCATGGCTTTAGATTCTCAGCAACCTCGGGGTCCCTGACTATGGCGGATATACGAGAGCGCACGGCTTCTTAACGGGGGAAGTCCAGGATAAGAAGAGACTGTATATAACTCTCCACCGTCTCTGCTGTAAGTTTGGCGGCCGCGGGACCAGCTACCAGACCAGAGAATGACGGGAATGATGTCTAACCATCACGGATGATATCCTCCTTTACTTCCACGTGATTCGAAAGTCGAGCAGACATGTTCTCACGGCGCTTATGCTACCATCCTTTCTCACGAGTATCCCTGCACCACTGCTTGGGGTCTATCGGGGTCTGTCCACGCTCAGCCACCACTGCAGGGGTTCTTTGGATCACATATAGCTTCTTGACCCATTTTGCAAGCTCCGGAACCACCTGAATACCAGTGGCTCCGGTGCCAAGAAAGGCTACATTTTTGTCTTTCAAATTGGATAGTCTGGGATCTTCAGGCGAGCCGCCGGTGTAGTTATAATCCCATCGGGCTGTGTGAAAGATATGGCCGCCAAATTCAAGTAGGCCAGGGGAATTAGGAACCTTTGGTCGTGAAAGGACGCCAGAGGCGAGGATATAGAAATCGCTACGTATTCTGAGAGTTTCCCCGGGGCCGTTCAGTGGCTTGCTGACAATGTTGTGTAGCCATTCAGAGGTCGATTCATCCCATGTCGAATCTTTCATTATCGATTACCACAGACCCCGACCCAGACTTGCCTATCCTGATATGCTATCCTGATATACTATCCTAATATTATCTCTGCTATCCTGCTATATCTAATATAATATATATTAGATATTAGATAAAACTAGGCTCCCTTACCCTAATATTATAATAGATATTAGGATAAGCTATATACTCTAATTAGTCAGATGCCACTTTATTACCTAATAACATCTGATTTTCCTATATTTATAATCTTCAAATCTCTTAAATATCACTTAAGTATATAAATATAATATACTATATTATTCTATGCCTCTACTACTTTTAATAATGGCTTTTTTATTATAATAACCTATAGATTTCGCCTTATAGCCCTAGATAACTATTAACCCTATAATTAATATAAAATTAGTATTATCTAAGGTCCTGAACTTTAATTATATATTTTATATAATATATCCTAAAAAGGGCTAGTTTAGACTATTAGGAAAGTATAAAATAAAGAAAGTAGTAGTTTATAAATAACTTCTCTATTCTTAGGATTAGGCCTAATTAAACCCTAAAGGAAATAATACTATATACTATACTAAATATAAACACCATAAGATTATTAACTTTTTAAATAATACTAACGTACACGATAAGCATGCCGATCAGACAAGCATGCCGATCAAAAATCCCTCAACCTTACATCTAACCATCTAATCAATTGATTCTCAACCAAATAATATGTCTCAATCTAATAAAGAGGCTCAAATCCTTCTTGCACTTCAGGCCTATCAGGCAGACCCAAAATTAAGTCTGCGACGAGCTGCAAAGGTCTATGATGTTAACTTCTCAACCCTCCATGCCCGACATAAT